AGGAAAGATGACACTATTATCAGAAGAAGGAAAGAATGATTCAGTTGTATCCGAACTGAGGATGAACATTACCACTCTTCAAAAGTTTGATCGCACCATAACTGATATCGTTTATACGTGTAAAAGAGTGGCTCAATACCAGTTCAGTACACAAGATCACAAATGGGTAGGCACAAACATATAAATTTTGAATGCTATATACGTACGCTTTTACAAATCTGCTAGTCACTGTCAATAAATTTCAACTAATCCAATTGTAACGATAGCTAAAATTAAAATTTCAGTTACTAAAAACGCAATTAACCTTATATTGTACCATTAGCAAAAGACTGAAAGAAATGGAAGCTTGTTTGTTTACAAAAGGTAACATTAGGCGTACTGTAGAGTTGTAATAATTGTATTCGTGTATTAAAGATACAATCCTGTAGTTACTCTTCATTTTGCAGAATGCTTTTTGCCATAAGATCAGATTAAATTTATCACATATTGGTATTGTTGAAGACACAACTTACTCTTCACATACATTTTAAATTATGTATTACATATACAGTACTATAATTAAGTTGTTATGTACAAAATTGCGATAGTATGGCATGTACAATTAATTGTACGTATGCCAGCTATTCGTGATTCTTTAGTCGTTACAAAGCCCTTTAGAATAGCTCTCGAAGTACGATAATTTACTTGCTAAATTTATTAACGTCTATGCAAAATAAAGGATTAATATCTTAGCATGAGGCAAACTGGAAGATATACGTATTATCATACTTCAGTACTCGTGGATACGGAAGAGACATCATGGAATAGCCTACTGGCGACAGTGCAGTGCATGATATCTTGTCCATTAATTGTTCCTTAAAAATTTATAGTTTCTATTTAATTTTATTGTTCTGAATGCAATTTTTTTTTATCTTAAATAAATGTACAGTATATTCGCAATTCGTGTTATTTGATAGGTATTCGTATGGGAATACCTAATTAGATACGCATGTTTTGGAAGTGGAAAGAGAGTTGCAGTACTGCAGTCTAAGATTTATGAATTTATTATAGATGTGTAGCACTTCATAGAAAAGATATGAGAAACTTTCGATAGGAAGTAATTGTGATTTATAGCTAGAATTTAGAATTTAATGAGACTAGTTCTAGATTTACATGTGTACAGTACTGTATAGTGCATTAGTATTTCGCTAATCTACGTATACGCATGTGTTAAACTTTTTGTCATATACCATGGTTCTACTAGTGGACCCGTAGTGTTTATTGACGTACATTGTATAATATGATAGATGTATGCCAGTTTTTACTGTACCTAAGACGAATACTGATGCGTATTAGTCTTAGAAGTCTCTGGTACAGAGTACATTATACTGTACCTACTTTACTGTAAGTTCACAAAACTTTTTTTAAGATGCTCGTAAATATTGTTATGCATATACATAGCATATAGACAGTAATTATTTTCGGTTGAGTACGTACAGTTCGTATTAACGCAGGCATTATTCAACACTTTGACTCTTTTAAGATCCATTTTCCCATATTTTGGATTTTTTATCCTAAATCAACTCAATCAAGAAAATGTTAACGAGCTCATTACCGGAGAAACTGAATTTGAATGCAAGAAACCTTTCCTTATGTACAGAAATGAATCATGTGAGTGATGGAGCAATTGATAGTAAATTCTAGTTCTAAAGTAAGAGCAGATATTTAATTTAACAAAAGAAAGTTTATACTATACGTATTTTTATACGAGAGTAAGAAAGTATTGTCATACTGTACAGTACTTACATGATGCAGTGCATTACTTACAAAAACGCCACAGTCCAAAACGCACCGGGCTGTGAAATGCAAATGCAACAATCTCGTGAATGTCCATCAGAAATGAGTTACTACTACCTGTAAACTGGACATACTTCTGTGTGAGCGTCAATATTTATTCCTTCAGACGAAAATTTGCTCTTCACAAACTTTTTATATGTAGATCTATGATGTTTACTGAGATTTCGTTTACAGTATTTCAAGTCAGTGATCGATATTCATACCGTACCCTCTTTCAAACTAGGATTGTAATTTGAAAAATTCTACTACAAGTTGATGGTTAAGAGGATCAATATTAAACTCTGATATGAGAAAATAAAATTATTAGGTTGTATACAATGTAACTGCATAGTCATAAACGGTAAACATTAGGTGTCATGAGTATCATTAGCTGAAAGTGTGACATTTCCCTTTGTATAAGTATAATGTTACCTACATGCAATTAAACACATTGAAAATGATTCAGTGACGGAGTTCGAGACACTTCCAAGAATCATCACCAGAGATTTATTATACTTTCGTATTAATTACAATTATAATAATATTATTAGTGTTATTATTAAATAATTATTACTAGTAAATTAATTAATTAATTGAACGGGAACATAATCTGCATAAGCAATAGAAATTCACAACTACTGTACAGTACTGTACTGTACTCTACAGTACTGTAGATTATCTTAAAATACAGTACTGTACAGTACAATTTATCACTGACTCACAATTATTATCTCGTGTAGTTGTTGTCCGCCATCTGTCGTTCTTATCCATATTACTGAGTTTATGCATATTTCTTTTACCTCTATGGTTACGCTTATCAACTCGCTTCGAGCCTGATCAATCTTTAAAATGGAAAACTTTATATCTAAAATTTAAATTATTACTTTGATAATTGTGAGCGGATAAAAGACATATATTCCTGTTCATATACTTTTAAAAAGTCGTCTATCTGTTACGCTCAACCATTTTACTGATGTTAGGCTTATCGACTTTCATCGAGCGTGCTCGATATTTGAAATCGAATCTTTATACCAGTATAAGATTTTAGAAATAAATATTAGTTCGATGTTGGGACAGATACTTTTCTAATTACAATAGTTTTGTTTGTACAGGAGCAAATAGATATTATAGTAGTACGATAGCAGTTATTGGCGACTCTTTCATTCGTTGTGAGCGGAGGTGGATAGCTAGTATGTAATAATGATAATGATAAACAGTATGTTATAGATTGTTGGGAGCTCTTACTGTTCATTGTGAAAGGATAAAGATTGATGGTATAATTATAATCCTGTCATAATTTGCAAAGCAACATAAATTCATCAGTAAATGAATTAAGGTTACGTTAATCCTTATATTAATTTACTCACATTCCAATCAGTAAAGATTCGTCTTCACATATCCTTGCACTTAAAGATGTCAATATTTCCAAGTATTTCTAATGACTATCTTCGTGACCTATAGCATAGTATTTCACCCATTACAGCTAATATGATCATCTTTATTCGCAGATAAAGTAATGATAAATATCGAATTACAATATAAGATTCTTGATAATTTAATCTCTGTCTCAATTGCATTGATGACATTGTTAACGTTGCATATTCAGATATTAATGATATATTAACAAACTCTAAATAAGCAGGCTGCTTGTAAACTGTATCACTTTACGTGTACAGAGAAATAAATGTTGTGTATTGCCTGTTAATAAAAGGAATAAGTGTTGTAAAACAATGCTACAACGTCATTTACTTAGTAGTTCCTGTGATTTTGTTTATATTCTATTTGGCGAGCTACAGATAATATAAGTACTGTACTAAATGAGATGTACTGTATCACTTTAATAGCTACGTAAGTTCATAATCCACCTTTATTACACACAACAGTGCTAATTTGCAAGATATAATTCTTAAACAAGATAAATGAATAACTTATGATGCGTCTCCCTAAAATCATATTGTACATTTGACGTTCGAATTGTATAATTAAACCTACATTTTGCATTTAATCTTATTTTTAGTAGCAATATTTGCCCTTTGGTTCAGCAATGGAGCTGACTGTGAACAGATTTGGAAAATTTCCACCACGTGAGTAAATTACTTACGTTAATAATATCAATTTACTTGCTTATTCTGCATTAATACTACCCTTGTAAGCACTTGTCCAGCCAATTATTTGCAATAAGTATCTGCAATATTTTTTCGATCAGACAGCGGTTAATGTATGATTACAAAGTAAAATATATATTTTTTTAATATATTTTCTATTTCTGTGGTATTTCTAAAAGTTAATTACTTCGAATCAAATATAGAAGTAATAGAACATCTTATAACATTCTCATTTAGTTCCTATTTGGTAGTTCTTACATACGTTTTATATCCTTAGAAAAAATTAATGGTCAAACTAATTACTGTTTAAAGCACTATTTCTTAACCCCTTTTATATTAACATAAAAATTACTAAGAGGCATATGTAATGTTATTGCTTCAAGGGTAATTGATTTTTTACATATATACCAATATTCATAATAAATTTCTCGCATCATATGCAGAAATTAATCTTAATCATTTTTTATGTTAAAATTATCGCGTTGAGTTAAGTAGCGGTAAGTTCATTACGGAAATCTTGTATTAAATTAAGGTTATTGAGTGAGTGGCTATTTATCGTTACAAGCTATTCATTAAAATGCCAGATTACAAATATATGTCTCCTTACCGTGTAGGGTTAATTAATTCAGCACTTGAGTGACTAATTTCCTAACATAATAACTTTGATGTCTGAAATTTACCAATATAAGGATCCAACTTTTGATTGTTTTTCCATTACAGAATTAAAGCAAATGGAAAGTACTTTGAGTTACAGCAACCTGACAGAAGTACAAAGGAATCACAAGAATCGAAGGTTAAATCTAATATGTACAGTATATGACGTATTGATTTACGGTAGCAGCTTAGTTTTACTCTACACTTACAATCAAGCATTATGGCTTGATTAAGTTATAATAGCATATTCGTGATATTTCACTTTTGTCTCTGGAAGGAGTTATTGCTATACCGGCTATCTGCTGTAAACATTCAGCAATGTATATTTATCATAAAGAACTAATCTATAGCACAATAATGCTGCTTAAAATCATGCTTATTGTTTGCCTAAGTACTCATTTCTGTAATTAACATTTTGGTTTTCATATGGGTGTTACGAATTTTAAGAAACAATCTGATCTTTCGGATCCTGCAATCAAGAAAGCCTCTGTAGTCAGAAAATCAATTCCACAGATGCTGAAATCAGAACCAGTGACCATTCCTGAACAGTCGCCTTTATCAAGGTTATTTAAGAGGCATGGGAGTCAGTCCTTGATCCAAACTAATTCTGAGACAGGCGACACAGAAATGGATAGTATGTGTTCTAGAGATACGGTGGCCTTTAAGGACTCAATAACCTCTATGCCGAGTAACCAGCGATTTAGAAGTAGTACAGTTCCTGCTAACTTAAATCAGATGGTCTGTAAGTCGGACTACAATAAATTGTTATCGCCGAAATCTGGAGAGATAGTTAACGATCTGTGTTCACATATCGAGTATAATAATGATGGGTTAACGTTTGAAGCAATTGCACATTTAACAGAAGGTAGGCTAACCAATACTGCATGCACTATTTACGGATTACAATTTTAGTAAATACTGATAAAAAGAGCAGTATACCTACTATCGCAGTGTTATATTAAAGTAGTAACAAAAATAGTGGAAAAACTTTTTGTTACGAAAGACTTCATTCTCATGTAGATTCATGCTGGTTAATGCTTCTTCCATTTGAATAGACTACTTGTTCTTTAGTTATCTTGTTAAGCACAGTGGCGTTATCTAATTTTGAAATTTCTGCGTTGCAAATTTTCGAAATTTTAATTCATATATTGACTTATGTAGATCGATATTAAGTGATGTAATTGGCTTTATAATAGATAAAAAAAATAGTCCTGGCTCAGAAGACTTAGCAGTAGCTGAAGGTGATAGAAATGAAGAGGTTAGCGTTACTAGGAGTATAACAATGGCATGCATACATTACACGGTTTACCTGCCAGTATTGATACGTAGTTTTTCAGGATCATTTGTTTGACAGTTGTAGCTATTACTGTCTATATTGAATGTATATTTTTACCGTATCAGAGCGACGCAGCCACGGAAGGGATTAATTATCCATCCTTGCTTATGTCGCCAATGGTTTTTCAGCGGTCTTCTGTTCCCTCTGAGACCTTATCGGATGCAGCTACACCTCCCACTCAGAATTTCTCTAGTGGTATCGTCTTGACTAAGGAACAACTTAAGAATACTTTGATCGATTTGCTACAGGTAATTTTAAATTACTCTCTGAAGTTATTACTTGCAGTTTGCTCTATGTTAAGATGCAGCCTTACGCTTTAACTTTTTGCGTTATATTTGTATGTTAAATACATATATATAGAATGACGATAAATTCTTGGAGACTATAAATGCTGCTTACTTAAGGCATTTAGCAAGGGACTAAACTTTATTTCAACCGAAAGGAAATGTGTTAGTAGTATTTATGTTTCTAAGAAAACTTATTGACTTTCTAAGATAACTATATAGAGAGTGTTAATTACTACAATGTTATGTTGGAATATTCGTTCTACACTCATACGAACATCATGCACGTATATCTGATCGATTGATGTAAAGATTGTATAGTGTACATGCTAGTCTTTAGTAAATATACTACTGCAAAAGCAATGCTAGTTGTGATTCAAGGTCATACTTGAGATCTAAATTGTTAATAGATTGATTAATAGTACTCCAATATACATGTATATCTAGTTATATACTGTAAAATATTATACTATACTCTAATTTAGCGATGATTTAGCGTACAGTCTACGAATAATGACATTTTATTGAATAGTAATAAAAGATTCACTGATTACGTAATTTTAAGGATTTCTAATAATAATTGCAATTGAGTTTCCATAATTACTACTGTAGTTCTATATACAGTATAACCCGTTATGTAACTAGCGGATCGTTACCATTAACGTTATTTGTATGGCAGTTAAGTATCCACGTACTCAATTTGTATGTTACCATGACTGGAATAAAAATTAGTTTGATTCCACTAATGTTAGTGGAATGGATTGAGTTTCTACAATAAGAGAGTGGACTCATTTGTAACTAATTGTGGAGGCGTGAAGCCATCACGGTGAATGAACGGAAAATAAAAATGCTTATCATACCACCTTAGAAATGTGATGTGTTGTAGTAGAGTTTGCAATTAAATTAACGTATTATATATAGTACTACATTTAATGATTTATATTATTGTGCTACTATCAGCTCTAATCCGTCGCAAACAGCATTCTTCTGTATTCCCATGCCCGCCTGTTAACATATTCTTCACGTAAGTCATTAAAGGTGCGTCATCCCTTATATAGTCGCTGGACTACTATATTACAGTTCACAGAGGATAATAACTAAAATAATTATGTCACTATTTTCTATAAAAACAAATCATGCAAACTATTCTAAAGTACGTGAAGGTGTAGTATATCGTTACATTTTAAGTGTGATTCAAGCATGATTCATGAAATTTTAAATAAAGTAGACGTTCAGTATTCAATTTACTATCATACAAAAAGTTGACTAACGTAGTAGTGATAGTTTTGGCAAGATTGAAAACTAACTTTTAAAATATTGACACGTTTCTAGTTCAAAAATCATTTACGTATTTATCATCCGCTATACTGATACAATGATGGTAGATGGGTTGTATAAGGTATAACTTTAGTGTACTGTATGTTTTATCAGAGACTGGGGGGGGGGCGTGGGGAGAGTTTTCATGGAGTAGTCCCTGAGGGGTTTTATGCAGTCTATTAATTTATTAATTTATACAAGTACCACCACAGTAAACTGCGTTTGCAACTATGACTTGTTTGGTATAAATATAATGATGCGATTTGTCTGATGATATAATTTCGGTGAATCAGTATAATGTCACCCTGGTCATTGATTATTCATCGAACTGCGCCCAAAACTGTGAAAACGCTATGACTGGCGGAATATCCAATGGACTTCACTAGTGAACATTATCCTCTTTTCCTTCTACAATAAGAGCCTGTGTACATGTATAAATACAGTATATGCTTACACTCTTAAATACCAGACTGTAGATGCTATAACGAATGTGATAGAAGCTCGATAAGACGGTATATTGAGTAGGTAACATTGAATATTAAACCGGTTGCAGGAATGAGACTGAATTAATATAATAAACGATTCTAATTCGGTACAGTAAATCACACTTTTCGATATTTAATAGCTTAACAGAGCTGGTTGCTGTTGAAGCAGGAATAGTTTGATACGAGAAGACACTGAAGGACATCTAACAAATTTATTGTAATAGTATATAAAGTGGAAAAGTTATTGAATAATAATGTTATTATAGGATACAATATATTTTATTACACCACATAGAAGCTAGTAAAATTTATTATCTTAATCTGCTAAAAAAATATACAAAGAATTAGTAACTCACGTTTTTTTCTAATCAGTACGATCAGCTTACGTCTGGCTTAAATAAATTAATCTAAAAAACATACGACTAGTCTAAAATTTAGTGTACGTGACACAAAAATAAATTTTTTTTTAAGTAATAGAAATGTAATATGTAAGCAATAATCCTACAAAATTATAACTGGAATTGTTGTAAGCCAAGAAAGATCAAATTGATAGAATTTGATAGATGAGATTGCAAAACATTTTTAAAGTACAATAACTATAAAATAACATCGTCCAATTTATTACATGAGTATGAACTTACTAACAGTTACTATATTTCGTAAGCCGCTATAACTGCTATACCTACAGATGCTACAGAATTAATATCGACAGATTATCTTACGCCACAAGGCACTGCATGTATTATTGTAGATAAAGTTTCACAGTACTGTAAAAAACTCGCCTAAACGTAAAATATCCGCTGTTGCTATCCCGTTAAATCCTTATAGCACGCATCGCACACACGAACAGGCTTCCGCGAAAATGGTGTGCTAGCTTGTTTTGCAGAACATTCAGCACAGAAAACCTCTCTACAATTAATTAATAGACCGAATTACTTCATAAATAAAGATCGATACGGAGATGTCAACATGTATAATCTATCCTTATTATTAAAGTTCAAGTATATCAAAATATACCGTACCCACACTTTCGGCAATGATGCTGCGGCAGATTTATGTTGAAAAATATCACGTTAGGGTTAAGCAGATTTAAGCTTAGCCATAATGAAATACATTAAAAAATAAATTGCATTATAACTGATTATCTTCTTACCCTACGTATAACGACGGAAAATTGACGACTACAGTTACTGCATTCAAGAGCATCCTTATCGGGAGTCCAACGTCTGCTTTGATTTCTGATATGAGTAACCTAATGGTAATAGACATTATGAAGCCACTCCATTCAGCTTTTATTAATCTTAAAAAATTTACACAAGCAAATACTGATCTGATCATGCTGAGATTATCCTATACCTGCAAAGATTGATTCACTCGACTTAATTCAACCATAGCAGATTCAGCTTCATCTAATTTTTCCTTCAATTCTCCAGCCTTTTTTCGCAATAGCTGAATCTCATCATCATTCGCAATACATCTGTGAAAGCATAAAGAACACGATAACTGCATTATAATGTACTGTACCAGGTTTCAATAGTTTACTCGTAAAATATCAATACCAGGAGTGTAAACAAATGCTATGATTCATTCTATATACCTTTCAGAAAGGATGCGTTGTTGGTCCTGAGAATTTTGTAAAGTTGCCTCCAGAACTATAATAATACGAATGTGAAGACGTGGAAAGTTGTAATCGTATTTCACACACCATCTTTCGAACAACTGCATTAATACAGAGATCAATCAGGTCCGCTATTATATTTAAATTGTACCTGCAAGTTCACCACGCAATCCGTTAATATGCCGCTCTTTTTCTTCTATTTCTTTGTTATCCTTAGATAAAACTGTACCTAGATCAACTAATTTTCGATTTGCGGAGTCAATCTGTGTTTCATACTCAGATTCTATCAACTTAATTCTCTTTTCTGAATAACTTTTATTTTCGACCTGTCGATCAGAAAAACAGCAGTTTAAAATTGTAACAAATGAATTTCGATTATTACTAATTTGCTATCCGCGGGAGCATATGACATTCTCACCAGTTTTTCTTGGAAAAGTAATATCAGCTCTTCATAACGTATTCTAGTGTCCAGTATCAACAACTCAAACTGTTTTTGAGCATGCTGTTCCTGAATTATCATAGAATAAATCATAGAAATTGTATAGATTATGCTAAGAGATATAATGATATGTAAGCTAGATTAAGATATATACATATATATACCTCGTCAAATCGCTGTCGAATAGTTTCGAGTTTATTATCAACATTACTTTCAATGTAGAGATTATTCATTCTTCTGTCATTCACAAGTTCCTGTTCCTTTAAGAATAGGCGTAGTAGAAAGCTAGTTAAGAACTATCTGAAAAATTAGAATGTGGCTATTATTGTTATAATGTTCCAATTATTATAAACCTTTAATTTATGTTGGATTTGTGAAAGTGTAGCTAGCTCTTTCTTTTTTTCTTCGCTTTGTAAATGACATCAAAGATTAGTTCTTTGAATATGATCACACTGGTATAAATCAGAAAATGGTAATTTTTCAGTTACATTAATAGCTTCATGTTATTTACGAAGTCTGCATCTTGGATTAATTTCTTCAAACGTATCTATGAAGAAAGATAATGTCAGATAAATGAAAACTTCAAAAAGATATCCAATTAAAGTGTATGGAAATGACTATGTAATACATTCTGAGTATGAATAGTCTGCAAAATTAGTTGCTGTTCTTGTATTGCTTGATTTCTGTCTTTAGATTGCTGGTCTGAGATCGCTTCTAACTAATTATTAAAGTGAATAGCAAAGTAAACGAATACATTGCAACGAAAATGGCTGTTTTAAGTTGAGAAATGCGAGTAAGTATCTCGTGATATTTGATCTACCTTTCCAATTTCCTTAATTGTAAGATCTATTTGATAATGATTCTTACTGGCATCTTCCTTCAATAAATGATACTCTTCTTCAACACATGTTAACGCCTTTTGTGATGACTAGAATTTTTTTAGTATTCAAAAAATATACTTATTTTTAGTTCACTAACTACTGGCTTAATTCAATATCTTCGTCTAATTGGTTGTGTAAAATTGTCTCGCAGTGTCACACTGTATGCTAGAATCCTTATAATATGGATCGGCGTGCAATAAAAAGTTGTACCTCATATTTGTCACTGATTATACGAAAGTTTTCTTGCAAGACCTTACACTGGTTTTCTTTAGTCTAAAATTTAATTTTAAAAAGAAATTTGAAAAACTATGCATTCATTACAAATACAATACAAAAATTCTACCGTTAATCTGAACTAACAATACAATCATTTTCGGCACTTTTAAGATCAGCTTCCAAATCATCATAATTGCTTTGCATTGAATTTATATGCTGTATCAACTCCTATGAAGAGTGATCAATAAAAGCCACGAAATATGTTAAAAAATGTAATAGATCACAAGTATGCATGTCTCAGTCAGAGCTGATTCCTTAGTAGATAATAACATATTCTCATGAATCAAATATTTTACAACCTTATTTTTATCGTTAGCTTGAAGGATCTATGCATTAAATAAGTAAAATATATTGTTATATTGCTTTGATCAATATTTATGCACATGAAAGTGAACTATAAAATGCTATGTATACACATATATATAAATTTACTTCATTGGCCATTTTTTGCTGGACTGCAATGAGGCTCTTTTCTAAAGAACGAATCTCTTGTTGATGTTTCTGGAAGGTGGTAATAAAGTAAAATAACTAGAGCTGTTTGGGCTATCGATTTAATTTGAGTAACAAATATGTTCATAATTATATGAGATGAAATTATCGTAACAATGCAAATAAGAAAACGGTCTTACTGTTGCATCAGAATTTAGGCGACTTTCCAGATTCCCAATTTCGTCTGAACATTCTGTAATCTAAAAGAAAATTTACAGCGACAGTAGTTGTAGTGCACAGTCGAAAATGATTAATACTATCGGAATTGAAGACAAAAAGTAATCTAGGATCCTCACGTTTCGTTGCAATAGCTCTTCACGCTGAAGTGCACATTCATATTTCTCCTAATTCAAAACGTTGCGACTTTAGCAATCATACCATAATATAACATTGAAATCTAAGTGTAAACTGTATAGTATATTTTAAGATCGTAAATAGAATCCTTTCAGTAAAGAAGCATCTGATGAATCATACTTGCAGCACTGTCAAGGAGTTTTCGGAATTTTTAAACATGGCACGTAGAGATTCTATTTCAGTATTGCGTTCTTCCATTAGATTATTCGATTTCCTCTCCGAAGATATCTATACGCGTACGGTAAATCGAAATGCCGTTTTGAATTATGTATTTTACTAAAATTTTAAATTACTTTCGATACTTTACACACCACATCCTGCATACGCAGTTTTAAAGTATCAATTTCATCTTGCTTCAGTTGTGACAACTAGTAGATGTGATCAGATCATAAAAAGCAGCATTTATATTAATCATTGTATCTTACGTCTGCTATTCTCATCTATTTAAATCTAATATATACATTAAGCATACAAACCTCTTTTAAGTCTTGCAGAGATTGCTTACAGATGACTAGATCATGCTCTAATGAAGAAATCTGAAAATAATTGTATATTGTTGAGATGTAATAACTCGTGGCATCCACAAGGCATTTTATTAAATGCTTATACGACGTTGGTCAGTTAATATATTTAAAGGGCCATTTCACAGTGGAGTAAAGTTGCAATATTTATTCCAAATGTAAGTAATAAAAATGTAACTAAGCTGAATTCTCACTTAAATGTTTATTAATTAATTAATTATAATGCACACTGTAAAAAAGTGCACAGACCTTGGATAAAAATCTCTGACGATTCTGAAGCTCCTCATTGTAGGAATTCTGTAATGTATAATTTCATATAAGAGAATCAAGAATTCGACTAAGTATTCGCATGTAATGATATAATCGTGGATATTATATGTAATAGAATAATCCTCTTAAATTAAGACATACTTTACCTCTAATTTTTCGCATTTCTGAATCACGTCCTGTAACTTGGAACTTAATTCACGTTCTACGCATGCGTGTTGCTCGTCATTATATTGCACTTTCTTAAGCAGTTTTTCCTAAATTAATATGGTTACCAATGTTTACCGTATATACAGTATAATGATATACTTCGAGATAACATTGGAATTACGTTAATAAGTAATGGAAGCAGTCTCACCTCTTTTTTTGCATATTCATTAGTAATTAATGCTAGCTCAGATTTTAAGCTACTATAATTCTTTTGGCAAATATAAAATGATCAAAATCATATAGACATCCTTAAGCGTGGAGCAAATACTGTACTCTTATTATTGTTATAAGTATAGTGCTGTCATTTACTACTACTTTTAGCAAACATAGTAAAGTGAAAGAACTCACGAGTTTCTTACCTCTTGGATAGTCTCCATTCTATTAGTTAAAGAATCTTTTTCTAGAGTCACAGCGGCAAGTGCAGCAGTCATGTCGTTAAGTTCTGTACACTTTATAGAAGGAAATTAATTAGAATACAAAATTGTATCAATGGGCTAACAGATAATAAAGAAAACTATTTAAGGTACCTTTTGTTCAAGCTCGAAATGGGTAGAGCTCAGGCGCTGCTCAAGTAATAACAATTCATTTCTTCGTTTTTCGACCTCCATTGATATTTTTTCATCATATTCCATTTTTATCTACTCCATTAAAATTAACGCTGGTATCGTAAATTTCCAACTTCAACTACAATAAATTACTATCATGTAATATGTAAGAAATTTTTTATCTATTTGAGCTACAATAAATAGTTTTAATTAAAATAGCGACGGATGTCAATGATATCGCTTTAAGTCAACTTAAACTACTATGCAGTAAGGACTCACATGCACCATTCTAGTCATGACAACAGTTTAATAATTTCTAATTCGTGACATGATAGCAAAGCTAATTCTACTGAAATAATGATTATTCTCAAAATTGTTAACTAAATCAGGTCAAAAATTTCAACTTTTTGCTACCTTCAGCATTTCATCATGTTGTAATTGCAAATCCTTATCTTTCCCAAGGATCGTGTTTTGATATGATTTTTCGTTGACTTCTAGATTCGATATTTGCGATTGCGCCGTTTGTAACGAATTAGTCTATGATTTAAGAAATTTTATCGATAACAAGTAAGGAACATAAGAAATAATCTATTATTACGACATAAACTGTGGTTATTATTTACAACATGAATGCAACAATAACGACTGGAGAGTAAAAATAGTATTTAAATTGGCATAGTGGTTTTAAGTGCAGTGAGTCAGTGATAACAGATAAAGTAAAAGGTATAAGCACACTTGGTACAGTATAGCACGCGAAGTATAACGATCGAGAGATCGACTAATACTGTGCAACAATTGTATGGTATTATAAATTTATCAGTTTACTATACCTATGTTGTATACCGCATTTGCGTAATGCTTGTATCATTCAATATTTACTGTAATGTTTAGTACTGATATGCATATGCA